AAGATCTCGGCGAAACGATATAAAAGTTGTGCTGAAGTGAGCACCACCGTCGAAGGGTTCTGCAGAATATTGTTAGGATTGTTGTAGTGTAATTGATGGAAATAGGTGAGAGGACACTCGTGTTGTGGATTCCTTCGTTGTGGCGGAGGAAGAGGCATCGTTGCGATAAATTTGGCTTCGGATCGATCGGCGTCGCGGCGCGCGCGGGGGGTGCTGCTCAATATCGTCATCTGCCCAGCAACCGCCGCCGCCGCCTCCTCCTGCTTGCCTGCCTGCCTACCATCCCTCTCCCCTCTTGTACCTACCAACCGCCTATGCCTCTCGCACACCCCTCGTCATCCCCCCAGCATAGGGCCCGCAGGGGATGCGATACGCGAATTTTACAAGGGCCGGACAGACGCGCCCCCTCCATAAAACTGTAATCGCTCCATAGTGGAATCGAATTATTTATTACACCACTAAATAGATCCACGCATATACATCCCCTTCTATAAAGTGTAGATATATATATATTTATATGAAAAACAAACAACTGTTTCCCCAATTATACAATAACGATTTTCCGGCAATTTGCAAAAAATAATACCTTCGCCTGCTATACAATTTGAATTCCCCAGAGTGTTTATCATTTTCCCCATACATAAACCATATTTTGCACATCTACTAACTGAAATGAATAACCTTTCTACAAACTCCAATACCCATTAATAGAATTATAGAACTAATATCAATTAGAACCTGAGTAAATAAATTTATTTTCATTCTTTGTCACATTCACCTTATTCAAGTTTTGGAAAATCATGTTAGGCAAACAAAGATGTGATAAAAGTAGTTACTGGTTATTTTTTTGGACATGGATTTTTTTATATTAATATAATTTGTAAACAGTAATGATCTTGCAATTCATGAGTCTTAATCTAATAATAACACTAAAACTGCTTCAGAAATTTTAAAAACAATATTAAAAAAGAGTAAAAACGTTGATATTACTAATTAGACGAAATGAATTTATGCAACTCTGAAAGTGTTAATTATACTTAATTTAATTAAATAGTAAGTAGTAGTAAGTTCTCTGTCATAGACATTATTAAAAAGTTGGTTATAAATTTAACTTATAGACAATTTTATAATAAATCTTCATAAAAATAAGATATATAATATATAATGAATTGATAGATTATATGGCATATTTTCTGGAAACAAGGAAAATGATGATGTTTTGTCTACACGAAATTACAGCAGAGAAAATGCGTTCGGATTAGATTTACTTGCGGATTATTATTGAGGCGGCAAGAAATGTTTATGTTTTCTTCCCGTCCTGTTTGAGCCCGAGAACGAAATAACTTACAGTGTTATTATTATTATTTGAAGCCGAAGAACGGTCATAGATTATTTTTAAAATGCTGAAACATCAACTCGCCTTGCCGTTATTATATGTATTAACTAGTACCAATTTATTGTCACGTACAAATGTCAAAAAACCAGTACAACTGACTTTACTTACGTCGTCTCAATTCAACATTTGATTTAAATTAGATCTAAGTAAGCTTCATTGATTCGAAGTATCTCATCGGCAATGTAAATTTAGTTCCCACTGAACTTGACACAAGGCGAAATTAGTTCATCTCGTTTCAATTATACGATCGTCTAAAATCTAAAAATAATTTTATCGACTATTGATACTCGTTTTTCATACACTGATTTCAAATGAAACATACTAAATTTATTTTGTAGATTCTTTAATTATTTTTACATCTAGAACATAAATTATAATTGAATTATATTTAGATTAATAATATTTATTGCCAATCACATATAAAACTTAAAACAGCCCTAATATACAGATTAATTTAATGGTTGTGTAAATTAAATTAAAATAAATTATATTTTATTGCATAGTTCACAGTCTAATATGTAATAAACATTAGTTATTGATAAAAAAATCAAATTATTATTAACTTTATATGAGATAGTTAACTGAAAACATTAAAAGACTTATATAAGTATGTTCCGTAGTGTTGTACAAAAAGAATACATTAAACCTTAATAAGTTTGTAATGGAAGTGGGTAAACGGAATGCAAAAAAGTATAAATCTTGAGTATGTTTTTGTAAGGTTTCTTCGAGATTTTCAGCAGCATTGATTACAAAAGTAAACGTCGGCGTTATTAAAAACGAAAGAAAGGTTTCCATTCCATTCTCATTCAGTTGATCTACCCCGCAATAGGTCCCGCCACACAAACTAGCCCTCGCGGGTGAATTTTTCGCATCCCTTTGGGTTTCACGTTCATCACCTCTCTTTGACGATGGCCACCGAAAATCTGAAATATTCATCGGCTCATTAACGCGGACAAAACAAGAAAGAAAAGCATGAGCCGATCCATCTTTCAGAAACATTCGTTCTTCTCTTGGTGAGGATGTTCGGAGCACATCGATCGTGTGCGCGCGGACACACGCCATCCTCCGCCGTTCGCGAATCCCATCTTCTGTTCGTTGGGGTGGCTTATGTACATGAGAGGGAGAGGGCGGACCCCTCCTTGCCCCTGTATGTGTCAATGGGTCAAACGACCCAGTTCCTGCTACGCTGACGTCATAGCGCCATTCACCGCATCGGCTCGACGACGTCATCGTTGCTGATGGAACGAACGAACGCATGGCATAGGTTGTGGAGGTGGAGCAGATTTAGAGCTGTAGCCTATTATACACAGATACGTGCTGCTGCTACTACTACATACAGACCGTACTATATAGTACACGTATAGGAACACGCGCGCGCCCAGAGACACTGGGGCAGAAGAGAGAAAAAAATAACAATGTTTTGGCACTCATCCAAAAGTGCCGCAAATTTCTAATTGCGTTCCTGATAGCTCTCCCGCTCTAGCGCCTATCCAAAATAGCTTTCTCGATGATAAAGTTTAATTCGGCCGTAAAAGCCGGCCGGCTTAACAACGCGCATGGCTTTCAGATGAATTTCTAACTACCCATCTAACAACCCAAAAACTTACCATACAGCTATCGAGGATTCAACGATTCGCACATACTTATATGTTTCATAGACGAGACGAATGCAAACTTCTAATGAAATTATATTATTGTTATGAACACGTGGTTCTGGAAAGGGTTGTGGGGAAGTCTTAGAAAGGTGTTAAGCATGCGGAGGTCGACGTCGTGGCAAGGATACGCAGCCGGGCGACACACAAATGGGTGACAAACGGAAAAAGACAATCCATTTATAAATCGGTGGTGTCCCTTTCCGAACGCATTTGTTCTCGCCATCGGTTATTGCTACTCCTACTATCAGCTATCATCAGTGCTCGAAGTCCTCGCTCACATCGCTCCTCCGGTCGGTAGTTTCATTACGCCAATTAGGAGCCCGGAAATGTCGTGTTTCGTGCGAACCTAATTGGCACAAACCGCGATCAACTTGCCATGAACCCGGCCGACCGTGATTTCGGAACCTAAATGCTCTATGCTCTCGGGTACACATGTTTAAAATAGGAGAACCTGTCACCGAGGTACCACACGCTATAGTCAGAAAGTTATCCAAAAGGAACAGTAAGAAGGAGTATGTCTTTACATTTGTTTATTAGTTAGCTTATTTAATATATGCACATATTACTGAAATTATTAGAAAACATGTATTTATTCTGGTCGGAAAGACCTATGTTCAATATCCCTTTGTAACTGTTAATTATTTCTTCAATTATTTTTATTATATATATTCTTTCAATAAAGATTAGTATTATTATGTTACTGATTTTATGATGAAAAAGCTTTTGGTTGTGTGTGTGAATGACGAAGAATTCTTTTATCACCTTAAAATTATTATTTATTTTAAAAATATCATTCAAGAAAATAATATAATTTTATTTATTTCTCGTTATTTCTTGCATCATGTATTCACATTTGTCTCACACTTCGCTTGTATAGGAAATATTACTTTATATATTCTTATAAGAAAAGCGTACACTTGTTCGAAATATGAATTATTATATCAAGATTATAAAATTAAATATAATCAATAGTTTTTTTTTTAAAATATGATTGCATAAAGAAAATGAAAAAAAATGTATGGTGGACCTGCATTGACAAAGGTATTTTGAACGTAACAAATGTTATGCACGTATTGAACTGTGACAATAAAGTTGAACCAATTGTTAACATTTTTTTGTCCTTTTGAAAGGTTGCGGGGAAAAGAATGTTGTGCGGTATTGAAATGGAAAGATAAACGCTAAAAAATTTTGCCGGTAAAAATGCCCGAGGTCGCACGGTTTAGTTGATATTTGGCATTCCGAACACTATGACAGAGACTTACTGCTGCGAATTTGTGCTCGAGCCTTGCTGGCACGATTTATCACCAGAAACCCAACCCATGGCAGACCGGTATTGTTGTTGTTGACATTATACGGATTCGGTTTGTTTTTTTTTTTCATCATCTTATACTACTTCTCTTTTCTTTTAGCCAAAAGAATCATTGAACCAAGTAAAATATCAGCGAACAGTACAGAACATACATTACTTATGTTGTACTTATACATATAGTGTCATGGTGTCACGTAAACTTCTTCCAATAAGAGATTATCTTCACGCCTTACATAATTATTTGAACATTTTAGTAAAAATATGTACTTCAAAATTCTAGAAATAGTGTCTAATAATTTGAAATTGAACAAATATTTAAATTTCTGATTAAAAATTTTACTTCACATACTATTTTAAATGGAACTATGATGAAATTTTTGATTAAAATCCATATGAGTATATTTGAGAGTATGTATGTAATGAAGTTTGCAGGATAAAACCAAAAATGTGAATGTAATTAGAATTAGGAATTTAAGGATCCTAATCATTTGTGTGATTGAGCGACATTGAAATACAAGGTTTTAGATATGAACGATTAGGGTTAATGAAAAATATTGGATGTGAATGTGATGAAATAAAGATGTTAAGATGTTAGTTGAAGGCTAATGAGTAAGAAATGATGGAATGTGTGTTGTTGTAGGTCGCTGCCCAAGCTCAGCAGCCAGGAAGAGGACGGGCACACCCCCCACTCCCAGTTCACTGGCGTAGCCCACTTCGAGCCTATCCCGCACGACCACGACTTCTGTGAGAGGGTCGTGATAAATGTGAGCGGCCTCCGGTTCGAGACCCAGCTTCGTACGCTGAACCAGTTCCCGGACACGTTGCTGGGTGACCCAGCTCGTCGGATCCGGTACTTCGACCCGCTGCGCAATGAGTACTTCTTCGACCGCAACAGGCCTTCCTTCGACGCCATCCTCTACTACTACCAGAGCGGAGGGCGTCTGCGAAGGCCCGTCAACGTTCCGCTGGACGTCTTCTCCGAGGAGATCAAGTTCTACGAGCTCGGTGAACTGGCGATCAACAAGTTCCGAGAGGACGAGGGCTTCATCAAAGAGGAGGAAAAGCCGCTACCGTCGCACGAGTTCCAGCGCAACGTGTGGCTGCTCTTCGAGTATCCCGAGTCATCGCAAGCGGCGCGCGTGGTCGCCATCATATCCGTGTTCGTTATACTTCTGTCCATTGTTATTTTCTGTCTGGAGACGCTGCCCGAGTTCAAACATTACAAGGTGTTCAACACCACGACCAACGGCACCAAGATTGAGGAGGACGAGGTGCCGGACATCACGGACCCGTTCTTCCTCATCGAGACTATTTGTATCATCTGGTTCACGTTCGAGTTGTCCGTGCGCTTCCTGGCGTGCCCAAACAAGCTCAACTTCTTCCGGGACGTCATGAACATCATCGACATCATCGCCATCATTCCCTACTTCATCACTCTGGCCACCGTCGTCGCCGAGGAGGAGGACACGGCCCACATACTCAGAGCGCCCGTCTCGCCGCAGGACAAGAGCACCAACCAAGCCATGTCGCTGGCAATCCTCAGGGTGATCAGGCTCGTGCGAGTCTTCCGCATCTTCAAACTCAGCAGACACAGTAAAGGACTTCAGATCCTCGGCAGAACGCTGAAAGCCAGTATGCGTGAACTCGGTCTACTCATCTTCTTCCTTTTTATCGGTGAGACAACATTACCTCGTCGCCAGTGATGTGCTGCTAAAGAGATCAACCTTTCTCATACACTTAGAACAAACGATCTAGGTATTCAGATATAATGAAGATGTTGACATCGTAAATAGTTCAACAAGCTCAAAGTATTGTATATCAGTTTAAATATAACTTTACATTAACTATGCGCAGATAATACTCATTAATATGAAAAATAGCAAACACACTATACAATTAACTATAAATTCACTGCAATGTAAAGTATTGTGTTTGTTATATATTTTTTAGGAAACGGTTCTGAAGAAGCTATGCGAATCACCCATAGCAGCACATCACTGTCCATACCACTTCTATCTATCTTTTTCTGTCTTTCTTTTTCTTGGGTTGTTCTATGCCCACTTTCTCTCCAGAATTTTCAGTCGTGCAAAACGGTAAATGATGGTACGAGACGTACATTTGTAAACGCCTCGTACCATCAAATTGTCTGCAGACACAGATAACACCGTCAACCCCCCGGGCGCGTCCTCCCCGTCGCTCTCTACTCTCTGTTGCAGGCGTGGTGCTCTTCTCCAGCACCGTGTACTTCGCGGAGGCAGGCAGCGAGCAGTCCTTCTTCAAGTCCATCCCGGACGCTTTCTGGTGGGCCGTTGTGACGATGACCACCGTCGGCTACGGCGACATGAGGTACAGTAGCCGTGTCCGAATCTGAACCCCACTTTCTCCTCCTTGCAGGTGTCGTGCTGTTCTCGAGTGCCGTCTACTTCGCCGAGGCGGGCTCCGAGAACTCCTTCTTCAAGTCCATCCCAGACGCGTTCTGGTGGGCAGTGGTCACCATGACGACCGTCGGCTACGGCGACATGACGTATGATGTATACACATAATTCAAATTTAGTTGCCTCTCTCCACCGTAGTTGGATACACACTAACTTTAAACTTAATATCAATACTACCTAAACAGTAATTATGATAATGATAATAAGAACAGCAGATGGTCGCCGCGACCCTTATGATTACATTATTACCAATAACTCGTTCACCAATTCTACTAATTCCGCTCACGAATCTCTAAACATAATACCGCCAGAAAATTCTTTGACCCACCATTGTTCTTTGTGTTTGTTTTATTAACTCGCAGTTGTTTCCACACCACCATGTGTGTATTTGCATTATTAACGAACGATCAAAATTTATCGCAGCATCAATTTATCAAACGTAACTAAATCATGGATCCACATGTTTTGACGTTTTCTAGGATGGACTAAAACTCTTTATCTCTCTCTCTGTCTATTTCTCTATTTCTTTCATCTATGCTTTCTCTATCTCTTATCCAAAAAATAACCCGTTCCAATCTGAACCGCCCCTCCTCGAAATCTCTATTGAATAGCTCTAGTTATAATTGTAATTATTATAAGATGTATTTTATGTTTACTTTTATAATTATTTATTTACAATCTCTAAGTGTTGTAACTGCGCTCTTTCTCTCTATATATTTATATACAAATATTTTTATATATGTGTGCTTGATGTCGCTGCTTCCATCAGATCCTAAGATCAGATTGAAAAAAAAATGTAAAAAGTGCGAACCAAAGGTTGAATGGTGTTAAAGTTAGAGTCTCCTCGACACCAAAGGGAACAAAGAATTTTCTAACGGATTTCAACAAAATCCGCCTGGCTTGCATGTTACTATACTACTACATTTGCACTAAAATTTTGCAACACTTACCAAAAATATCACATTTTCAATTAAGAAAACGTGATATCCGCAAAAACAACAATTCCCTTATTTTATATTTCATCCCCGCCTCTTCGCTTAGTCTTATGCTTTGAATACTTAATTTAACTGATATCTATTCGAACTGTAAAAGAATAATAGATACTCGTTAATTTAACGCAGTCAAATGCATGTTTGATCTTTGAGATGATGATTTAATGGTGCGCATGTGAATTAAAACACTTTAAGTAACGAACAACAACAAGCAATTGGAAATGATCTTGCTTATGCGTCTATAAATAACTACCTGTGTTTTGGTCTCATGTGCTCTCCTTTTCGTTTTCTTATGTTCATTTGTGTGTTTTCTTACATTCTTCTTCTTGGTTTTTGTTTGTGTTTGTTTTTTTTTGTATTTTTTCTTGTTATTCGATTCTTTTGATGTTCACTACACGATGGTATTAATGTATCTATTTTTTTCTCTGTTTGTTCTCGTGCGATTTAGGCCGGTGGGCGTTTGGGGGAAGATTGTTGGTTCATTATGCGCCATAGCTGGTGTACTGACGATTGCACTGCCAGTGCCCGTAATAGTTTCAAATTTCAACTATTTCTACCATCGTGAAACAGACCAGGAGGAGATGCAGTCTCAGAACTTCAATCATGTCACAAGCTGTCCGTACCTCCCGGGGACGCTTGGCCAGCACATGAAGAAGAGTTCTCTGAGTGAATCCTCGTCGGATCTGGTGGAACTCGAGGAGGGTCTTCTTGTGACGCGCGATCAGCTCGCTCGGAAGCAGAACTGCAATCCGCGCCACAACAACAACATCAACGCCATGAGCATTGAGACTGACGTCTGACTACGAGGTAAATAAAACCCGATTGAAGATTTACATTTATAATGTAAAATTTAAGATTTTCATCAATTTTGCTCAATTATTACTTTGTAATATCTCCATTTTAATAAATAGTAGTCTCTGTCAATTAGAAAAAAAAAAACTGTATTTGCCAATTGTAGGAAATAACTCAAGTAGAATAAAGGCTATAAGTTTTTCCACAAATCATTCACAAAAAATAGTCATACCTTTCCCTCATAAACCACTAAAATTAATTTTTTTAAACATATTTCCAACATGCATTTCCTACAAATCTGTCCCAACCTTCTAATTAAAACGACTATACAATAAATGCGTCTTGTCTAACTCCTAACAGGCAATTAATGAAAGCATTCTGGAGGAAACTGTAGGTGGTTTGAATGGTGCATGATGTATGTACGGTCTGCAAAGTGTTATCACTACTCAACGGCTTCTAATTAAATCCGACAAAGTCTGACCTGATTTGAATCCATGCAGCAGCTGTACGAAATCTAAATTACACATATACACAATTTACATAGCTTATTCTATAGGGCTCCAGTTAATTCCTATGATAAATTCAGCACAAAGAACTAATGAGATTAAACTATTTCAGCGTTAATTTTTTATAACAAAAAAAAACTTAACCGAAACTAATTTTGTTTAATTAATTCAAAGTTTCAGGTGAGAAGGTTCTCGAGTTGTACTTCCAACAACTACGAAAGCTATGAGCCTCTTTATAACTTATTATTCTGAAAGCAATTAAAACTATGCTCTTAAGATTACATGCACTCGTCTACATCAAACTCCAGACCTTCCCTATTACTTTATTCGTAATTCATATTATTTTCACGACTTACTTTTTACTATTTACTTCATTAATTATATTAATTTTTGTTTGACACCAGATTATAATCTTCAATTAACTTAATTGCTACTTATTTTTATTTCTACATGTTTTTTTCATCGACTGATGCAATAAACATTACTATTTTTTTATTAAGAATTCCTTCAATTTACGTACGAAAAAGTACATAAAGTAGTTAAGTTTATTTCTTAATAAATGGAAAATAAAATCCACCAAACATTGAAGTATGAAATTAAATAATTGAAAGAATGAAGAGTCTTGAAAAACTTAATTTAAATTTGTTTCATTTTCTATTGAAGAAAACATATTTTCAGTAAATAATTAAAGCTAGATAAATATATCAGTGATTTGTGGTTGATGTAAGGTCTCTCCAATTACTTTAGTTAAAAGAACCATCGAAAGAATATGAACTAAAAGAAAGTCACCTTAATGAGTAGGATCATTATATTCTGGTTTCGTTTGTCTTTCAGAGTAGTGAGTCTTCAGTAAAATGAAAATGAAATCCTTCTGTTTGTTCTCTTTTACAGTGACGGATGCGCTGCGCCCACGGCTGCTTCGCGTCAAGCCGTCCTCACATCAGTATGTGCGTGCAGTGCTCCGGACCCTCACTGAACTGCCTCCGCCACCGATTTGGTACTTTTGTATCGCGGTTTGTTTCGGGTGAGATATCCTGCCAAATAAATAAATAAATTATTAAAACAAAGTAAACCAAAAAAAAATCACAAAAACAAAGTACGAAAGGAAAAAAAAATGAAAACCAAACTCTTAGAGTAATAAATTATACATAATATTATAAATAATATACATAATAATTTAAAAATGAAGAAGCAGAAGAGGAGGAAGAAGAGATTTAAATAAAAAAAAGGAAATAATAATTAATGAAAAATTATGTGAAATGAAGAGGAGGATGCGAAGCCGCGACGGGAAGAGGATGTGCGTCTATCTCGAGAAACCAACTCCGCCCGTCGCCCCACGCCCACACCCCAATAAGGAAGGAGCTAAAGATGATGAAGGATGAAGAGGATGAGGATGAGGACGAGACGGAGGAAGAGGAGAAGGACGAGGAGGCGCAACAGGATAAAAAAGAAATAATAAATTAAAAACAAAACAAAAAATGATGTTATTATAATTATATAACTAAATTATCAATGCAAAGAGAATGCAAAATCTATGTAAAATCACAAAAACGACCCCTGCCCCCTCTTCGTGAATTGAAAGTAAAACTTATAAACAAACAATAAAGCGCGGAAGATCTAATAATCCGAGGATAATGAAATTTAACTAAACCAAAACAAACAAATGATGATAACGTACATCGTAACGAGAGGAAAACAAGGAACATCTGTTTCGTTTCGACTATGATTTACCTTTTTTCTCTCTCTATCAATCTCTCTCTCTCTCTCTCTCTATCTATCTCTATTTTTATTTTTTCGTTGTTCGTAAAATGGGATAATATTTAAACAAACCAAAAAAAAAACTATTTTAAAAAAAATCGGTAATTAAATTAAACCAAAAAAAAATATGCCGCCTGTAGTGCGCTCACCCCGAACTCTATTTAGTCGGCACTGTTTTAAGTGCTTGTTGTATAATCTCGGGCTGTGTGAAGCTTCAAAATACCAATTAAACAAGATTATATAAAATTTAATTAAACCAAAAAAAAAAACACGCGAAAAACGTATATTAAACCAAAAAAAAAAACAATGGAATAATAAATAAATAAATAATATTAAACTACCTACATACATTATTAATTACTTAGGGTTGGATTAGCTTTAGCCCTTGTTACATATCCACCCGAGCGTGCGGGGCGGCGCGCGCCCCCCGCCCCGCTTCCAGCCGCCCCCAGCCCCCGCGACCCTTCGCAATACATAAACGTACGTATGTACGTGTGTACAATTATGTGCGTGCACATGTGCATACATACGTATATGTATCATTTGAGCAAAGAAATGAGAATATGAAGTGGAGGAGGATTCATCGTGATGCTAAGATCGGCAACCCAGCACTAGAGGACGACAATGATAGCAAGAATGAAAGAGAAATGTTAAATAGAAAGAAAGAAAGCATGTTTGCAAATGAGAGAAGACAGTGAAAACCGATAGAGTTTAAAAGAAAAACAACAACAACAAACAAAAAACACTTAAAGTAAATAAAATAACGGGAGTTCGAGGAAAAAAAAAACGCTAATTATTAAAAATTAATCAATTACTGTGTAGATAATCAATAATCAAAAAGAAGAAAAAGAAAATAATAAGAATCACCAAATAAAAAAAAATTGGAGAATTTTTCTAATCGAGCAAAATTAGCGAAATTAATAAACACTGCAAGAGGATTTTATCGGCCGCAAAAAAAAAAACAAATATTTAAATAACAACAACAAAAAAAAAACAAACAAACAAAAACGATAATTAATTAGTAAATAATTAACGAGCAAGCAACAGGAGCTGGAGATTCCGGATTTCGAAGAATTTTTGTACGCCGCATCAAATTGCATAATAATTTATTTTCTATTTCTATTATTTTATTATTATTATTTTTTTTTTCGTCTTTTTCGTGGTGCTCGGCTCGGATTCCTTCGCCCCCCGCCCGTTCGGCGCTTAAACCCCGGTTCACAATCTTATCCACATTTTTATACATTTAGTTTAATGCGCTAATATGATGACGAGCGAACCATCGTCGACGAGTGACTGCCATTGAACGACCTTCAACCAAGAACCTGGGTTTAACCTGCCGTCCGTTTAACTCAGGAGGAATCGCGAGGCCCGCCGTGTCACAACCACCGCCCCCTCCGTCGCGTCTCCTTTATTTTCCGATCTGCGTGGGGCAGCTCTCGCGTTTTGGTGTTAAATTCGAAAAAAATAATTACACGAGGAAGTAAGATATCGCAAAAAGAAATGAGAAAATAAATCGTCGTTTTGAAACGCATTCGCGAAACCGAAACTCCAAAACCTACGGTTAAGTTTGCTTGTTTTAACTATGTACGTACGCTCGAACGGCGCCTCTAGTTGAATCCGGTTAAATCTGTTATTATTCATAACGTTCCAAATTGCGTCATCGGGTGCAGCAAGTATCGCGGTTCAAGCGTGCGCCATCCGTTAAAACAAAGTCCACGCTGCATTCTATTTCATTGTTATACAATTGCAGTTTTTCGATCGCATTCAAATAGAGAAAACAGTCACTTTGAACCAATCAACAAGTTAAAACTAGTATTTAAACGCATTTAGAAGACATAAAAAATTCAATGTATCGAAAACAGTAACTTTAACATCTATTCAGTAAAGTAACTCTTTCAATCAAGTTATGCTGTATTACTAAGTATAGATTTGAAACTTAATTGCAACGACAAATATTGTTATTTAATCCAAAGCTAATTAAAAAGTAAGCCGTCTTAGATTTACAAATTATATGAGTCTTATCTCAAATTTCAGTTGACTTTAGAGTCAATTCTCTCTTAATAATTATACTAAAATAAACAGGCTTTAAAAACAAGTAATTTTGAAACTTAATCACTTCTGTATTTCTGTTCCGTTCAAGGCCTTCTAAGCATAGTAATAATTGTCTTCATAATAGAAGACAAACTGCTAATTCTTCTTTCTATGAATCAAACTTTCTAATTCATAATGATCAATTCTAAACACTACATGCAATTTGTTATTTCCAATCATAATTTTCATTTTGAAATGAAAACTAAAGTATTCTTTTATTGAATTGACCTTAAATTAGTTGACTTTCCTAAATGTTGAAAAAAAAAATAAGTAAGCTAAGTTCAATTATGGGATAAAACATACTCGATTAATTTCCATTTAAGGAACATAAAAGTTTGATTTAAAAGTTGAATCGAGTTGGCGGTTCAAAGTGACGTTTTCGGATAGTTGAAAGTTGCGTTGAAAAACTGTACTTAACAAACAACAACAACAGAAAAAAGAAACCTCTATACATATATATATATTGAATAAATGGGATTAAAAACAAGGGAGAACAACAGTCGTGTGAACTTTGAACCGTTTTGGTTTCATTTCCCGGATGGTTGCGTTACGATTTCCTTTTTTGCTTATGATAACAAAACAAAAATGTATGCGAATGTGTAAAAGAGAGAATGATAAAAAAAATGATAAGTGGGAGTACTAAGATGAGATGCGCGAGAAAGGAAATAATACCAAAAGTAATTAACATTTAAGGATGCGTATGTACGTGAACGCACGTTTTTTTTTATATATATTGAATATATTATGTAAATGGTAAAAGGAATAAAAAATATGTAAAGTTGAAAGAAAAAAATTCTAAAAAAAAAATAATATATATATGTGTGGAGAAAGTGTGCAGATGAAGTAATAATTAATGAGGATTTTTTAATACATATATAAAGAAAGTAAAGTTTTTTTTTTCTAAAGAAGTGGGCAAAACTATGGAGAAAATTAAGAATTGCTAACAGTCATACACAAACAATATGTAAAAAGGAGAAATGTTTTGGATATAAATAAATAAGATGATTTTTTTCGTCGGCGGCGATGGCGGCCACGAGAAGAAGAAGATAAAGACGCGGGGCGGTGCGGAGGAATCGGTCTTCCTGCAGCGTCCCCCCACCGAAATAACCAACCAATCAACCCTCACTCAGCCTACCAACAAAAGAAACCATCAACGATATCAATCAATCAATCAACCAACTAAAACCAAACAGGAAATCAACAATTCAATCGACCCAAGTTGCAGCAGAAGAAGCGACACTTTCAACGGATGCAGTGTGCGTGTGTGTATATGTGTGTGATTGTGTGTGTATGTGCGATAATGATGATGAAGATCTCGCGAATGATGAGGTTATAAAATATAAACAACAACAACAACAACTAAAAAAAAACAACGCGCGAGTGCTGGCCGTCCTCCCCCCCGCACCAACCGAATATTATTATTATTATTATGATTATTATTATTATTGCGAGTCCGACGCCGCTCATTGTCATTTATTTGTGAATCAGTACGAATCTAGTCATGTTTGTTACAATTTAAAATATTTTATAAATGTTGATTAATATACGACATTCCTATTTCAAAAAAAAAAACAACAAAAAAAAAATTACAAACCGTATATACTTATTCTTCTCTTCGACTCTTTCCCGATTCCCCAAAAAAAAAAACAAACTCCTTCCATCATTCCCACTCGTATTCACATTCCGGTGTTTGTATATGTGTGGTAAGTCGGTTCTGATCAAAATCCCGACAATTAAAAACCCCGACAACCGTAATTCCGACAGTGTTCAAATTCCAATACCGGACATCCTTAAAGTAACAAAATTCCGACAGTACCCAAATTTCTACAGTATCGAAATTCCGACATTATCAATTTCCCGACAGTATACAAAATCCCGAAAGTTAAACAAACGTATTTAAAAATAAGCGTTATTATTTTCTACATGAATAAAAAAAATACATTAGCGTAGCTATAAAACACGGTTCCAGTAAATTACAGGGGCTTCCAAACTAGCTGTACTACAGGGATGCGAGAAATCTTATATATTGGGTGAAGTGAAAAGTTCCGAGCGTTTTGTCCCATACTTCGAGCTTCTTCGTGAGATCATCCTTATGCAAATGTTCCAAACGGTTTTCTTGCTAATCTTCAGTTCATGGGCAATGGAATAAGTGCTCGCATATCGATCCAACTCGACGATTTACATGATTTTATCAACATTTTTGATGATTCTCATCTTCGACATCCATATTACCAGAACAGAAGCGTTGGAAC